CAGCCTCGACCTGCTGGGCTCCGGCGATCATTCTGCCTCAGCCTTCCGAGTAGCCGGAATTATAGGCGCGCGCTACCACAATCGGCTGATTTTTTTATTTATTGTAGAGTTGAGGTCTCGCTGCCCAGGCGGGTCTCGAACCCGCGGGCTCAGGCAATCCACTCACCTCACCCTCCCAAAGGCGCGGGATTACAGGCTGAGCCACAGAGCCTGGCTGTGACTTTATTTTTAAGTAAGTCATTGGTTTCTCCCATTTTAGTTAAAGACTAAGCAGTTCTCATGAAGATTGTAGGCAGGACTTAAGGCAAAAAGAAAAAATTTGATTTTGTGCATTCTAACGCTCAGTTCCGATGTGAATTAGGTCATTTACATAAGACGTTTTGTTAAGGGACCAAAAGACTGGGTGAGGTCTGTGTGTGCTGGAAAACCCTGGAATGAGATTTTCTGCATCCTGGACCTTAGTCCAGTAGTTTTCTAGTGGTGGCACTGTAGGCAGGTTGCTTTTTCATTGAGCCTTGGTCTTCTCAGCTATAAGATAAATGGCCCTTTCCAGGACTAAATAGCACATAAAGTTTGCATAACAGATGAAGCTTCCCGCACTGATGAAGGCAGCTCAAGAAATGAACTGTTTTGCAAGGAACAGAGTGGCCCACAACTTTCATTCCTATACTTGCAGAAAACTACTACTAGAAAAGGATAAAACATCTTTAGATAGGTTTCTCAAAAAGTGCTCTTACATACTTCCATAAATCTCAAAATGTGTTTGAAAAGTACCCAAAGAAGTTCTGATTTTTCTAACTTAGGTGCTTTCTCACCTGATCTGTTATAATACCAATAATGCAAGAATTAAAAAGTAAAGACCACTGGCAGACACGGTGGCTCATGCCTGTAATCCCAGCACTCTGGAAGGCAAAGGTGAGAAGACTGCCTGAAGCCCAGGAATTCAAGATCACCCTGGGCAACTTGGTGAGATTTTGTTTCTACAATAAATTAAAAAATTAGCCAGACATGGTGGCATGCTCCTGTAGTTCCAGCTAAGGTGGAAGGATCGCCTGAGTCCAGCAGTTCTAGGCTGCGGTGGCTGTAAGTGTGCCACTGCACTCCAGCCTGGGCAACAGAGTGAGACGCCAACTCAGATTTTAAAAAAAGTAGGGACTTTGCATCTGAATTCCAGAGCAAATAAATGGTCTTTGAAGAGGTTTTCAAATAGAAGTAGATGAGCTACC